AGCCACGTTGTACGTCTTCAATGAAACATTTGCGTATATTCACAAAAAAATGAGATAAAACACACACACACACACTTGCAATACGCAGAGTTATTGAACCATATTTTTATTTGCGATTCCTGGCAGATGATGTCAGTACGTCTGAAGCAATTAGCGTAGAAGCGAAAAGCCGCCTCTCCCCTCCCCCCCCAACAATGGCGCCAATTCATTTAGTGCAGACAACAGCGCCTCTAGTGTCAGGAATGCTAGCCCTCAAGATATTGTTAACAGAGGTCGAAGTCGGGATGCTCTTTCATGGGATGGAATTACACAGACATTTTAACACAAGCCTTTAATGAGGGAAATGCCCCGACTCTGACCGATTTCGTCTTTTTTTTTTAAGAACCTTCAGATCACGTGACCTGTCAGTCTTATTTTTCTTGTTTCCTTCCTACGAAGCTTCCTCAAATGTTTTTACTCGGAGTTCTTTGCCCTTAAAAGAATAGCCGAAAACATGGCTACCAACTATATAATACAGAAAAAACTTTCATGTCGAGGAAATGTACGTCACAAACTAAGCAACAGCGGTGCACAGTGTAGTATGGTCTATTCAAGAGGAGCGTGGAGCAGACACTGGTAATACTGGCTTCCTGTTTGTGTGCGATGGAGTACACACACAGTTTCTAAGAGCGGATTTTGCGAATGTGCACGTAGTATATATTTAGCCTTCATGTACGTTTATTGCCAAATTTGTTCTAAATCTGATGACACTACACTACAAAGTCATAATTACTCTTTCTTATGAATATGTTCCATATCAAAAGAGCTTACGATAAATATTGCATATCTCAGTAAGGTCTAGATTTTATGGTACACGCAGTTTTTAACCTACTAGCCACGTTAGAGAATAGGAATAAAGATCGATTCGACGTTGCGTTACTTCAGTTTAAAAAAAATGTCACCGTAAAACAGTCCATTTAACAGAAATACATTCAAAAATCCTACCTTGTCACCAAATTGGCTGGAAGAAGTGTACGGAATCTTGAACCAAGCTGTACCACCATCAACCCAGAAGCCACAGTTGGTCCAAAAGCAATATTACGGCATTGGCAGGGTCTCGAGCCACTGTCCGCGAGGTGTAGGTCGTCTCTCTACCTCCTCGACGTAGTCACAGAGACATCTACCATAATTACTGTAAAGCGAAAGGACAGACTGTCATGACCAGCACTAAGTCTGCTGTTGTCTCGCATATTCACTCTTGTTTAATTTAAAGAAGCTTTCAAAAACTATAATTATATGGTGTAAAAATACAGCAGAATTGTACCAATATTGCTCCAATCAGCTCTCAAAGATGTCCTCCTCGAAACAGCATTTTCTGACAAGTGTTTATCAGGCCCGTTTGCCACTTACTCTGTTGTGACAGTGAATCACCTGTCGATTCTTCCCGCCTCTAGTGGAATTTGTTTTCAACATCTAAAAGCCTACGAATCTACGCCTCAAAGTCTGAAGCTAAAAGTAAAGATCGACAACAGCGCTACAGTATTCCGACCATGCTGGGGTTTGCTACGTCACAAGCAGGCGGGGAAAGGAATTTTAAATCTCGACTCTGCAATAGTGAATGTTTCCATGCCAGAGGCAATGTTCTTTTCAAAGCTGTATAAAAATTTTCTTTAGTATCCATTTTCACACAGAAATAGGAAGGATAGTTCAGTCAGATGACCGGGGTGTGTTCACGAATAACAAAGAGAGACCCTGAACAAAATTATACAATGAGGAGCTTCGACTAATATTGTTGCTACAAGTAAATCGATAATATGTATACAATTTTGAACGGAAAACATAATCGGAGGAGGTCACTTGAGATATCTAGAAGTACGTATATTAAGACGAAATTTGGCTTCAGAGGATTAAGAAACGGATTCAAGCGAACAAGAAAGCTTACATGTTTATGGTGCAGCTGTACCTGCCAACCCTTTCTCAAGACAACACATATGTCTAGAACCGGTGACCTGATGAACATTTTGTTATTGCGAGTCGTTTGAACCTTCGTTACCATTCATCTTTGATGTCATATCGTACATATGGACGGACAGACATACAGACACGCGCTACGTAAACTTCCGTTTCCCTCTTTTTGAATGAGCTCTCTTATTTCATATGTCTTCAATAGTTAACGGTGGTTCATGGACTTTGTCTACACGAAGTTCGTTGCACTAAGCAGCATATCATTAAACTTTGTAGTTGTGTTTCGAAAACCAGAAGATAATTTCATCACGCCTGTATTACTGTAAAAGAAACTATATTATTTAACCGATTTTTATCTTAATTGGTATGATGAACATAAATTTTGACTATGGTTAAGAGTAACTCAAAGATCATGCCATATGACAGCCTAAATTCAATGATTCTTTCATAATTCCAGTTTGCTTTCAGGTTTTCAAGAAATATGATATAGGAGTACTGCTCTTACATTATATGGTAAAATAAACAATTAACATTAACAATTATTTATTCCATATATGTTCCATAACGATATGGAACATGAATGATATTTTATTATCTTAATTATAAGAAATTTTAAATATTGTGATCAGACGGATTAAAATAAATAATTGTTATAATATTCACAATATGACGCAATTACACTATCTTATAATTAACATTAATTCAACATTTAGCAGATATTAAGAACACGCTAGACAACGCAGTATATATTTCTATTAAAACTTCAAATTTTAATTCCGTTTTTTCTAAGACCAATACCACTCCCATTTAAAGGCGAAAATAAAGTTTAAATATTAACGTATGGGGAGAATTTTGCGAATAAAAGAATATTGCATCTATAAAATATATACAAGGCTTGCAACAAACTCAAAAGCATATAAAGGAACAGCACAGCAATTCAGAAAAAGTAGGTTTAACGTACTAACAGTCTGAAGAACGAAACGTACTTAAAACGATTTAAAAATTCAGTACCCGTGTCCCGTCTCAAAGAACACACCGCGTAACCATAATAATTATCAGATGGTTAAAGTGTGCTAAAAAGAATAATTGTTTACTAAGAGGAAAACAGAGATGGTGAATTCATCGATGAAGTACATTATAGTCTGAATGCTAATTATGAGATGTTTTATGGGTTTTAATTTTCAATAAAAACTGTATCTGAAATCCATATGTTAAAACCGTAATTTAAAATATGGAACTGATTATAAATAATGAGAAGACAAACACGTTAAGAAGAGTTATCGTGCCTCAATTCTAGGTTATATACAATTACAAACGAAATTAATAGCGACACCTTCAACGGAAAATAACACACCTCTACAACAAAATTAATAGTGACTAAACTTCCCCATTTATGTGCCACGGTGGTCTAGCGGTCAGAACACTAGCCTTGTAATCCTGGGGTCCCGGGTTCAATTCCCGGTGGTGCTCAAATTTATAACTTGTGTTGGGCAAGGCCGTGGTCTAGGCATCACGGAGTTTTCCTCCGGGGGCTTCGCCGGTTTCTCCGTGGCATCCCAACAATTACTCCACTCACACACAGAAGAAGGCAATGGCAAACCACTTCTGATCATCTCTGCCAAGAATGTATATATGTATGAGCAGGTCCCTGACAACCTGAAGAGGTTGGAAGGATCCTGTTCATAATATATGGACCTGTCGTCAGACAGAACACTACAAATAAAATAAAATAAATAAACTTCCCCATACTCTAACCAAGTGAGGGCACCTTGAGAAGTTTAATACCGATTTCAGAACTTTAAAAAAAGAACATATTTTAATATTTCACAAAATAGGTGTATCCTAATCCGATCGTCAATTGCATGTCTAATTGTTTCGGGTATTATTAAATTCACACTTACTTATAGAACACCTAAATGCACCCATAATTCTTCATGTAAACATTGGTGAATCATATTTTGTTAGTCGAATTGTATAGGATAGCAGCTCATATCTTGATCTTGTATTTAGGTTCGAGTACGCTATATCTGACGTTCATCAGTTCTCTTTTATGTCTCCTGTCAATTCAAATGTTATTACTCTTTTCATTCTGTGTATTACAGTGTATAACGTATATTTTTTATTAATCACTTTTCTTAACTATGAGAGCGCACTGCAACTACGAAACATTATAATGGCTCTAAGAACGATAGAGTGATACAATATAGACGAATCTATCAATCTTCTAGGTGAGTGTAATAATATCTTTGTGGTGACGTTGGCAATAATATGTGGAACCTCCTTCTGTCTCCTTGAATATATTTATCTATTTACCTCAAAATAAATTTCAAGTTTTGACTTACAAGGTTATAGACCTCAATTATGGGGGAAAGTCAGCGAACTACAGATATTATCTACACAGGACGTAGGGCCCCAGGCACGATGGAATCTTATAATTGGCAATGCAATTACACAGCCTCGAGCGATAATACTTTTTAGCTGTTTAATGGATTTTACGATCTTGTATCAACCGTCCAATAATGTTGACTGCATATTCGGTTATTTAGCGACTTCATATCACCTACAGTGGTCATTCAATATGTGATATGTTAGAAAGATAATCGCGAATGTTCATAAGTTGATAGGAAATTATTTTCCTGGAGTCCTGGATTTAAACACTCATTGAACTGGTGATAGAGGCGGTATGACCTCTGAAACGTCGGTCAACCATTTTGATACTTGCCACCGTGAGAACGTGTAACAAGGGGAGCCGAGACTGGAGATACATCCCTCCCCGATAAAAGACCAGCTCCTTTCCATGGAATTAGTTAGCTCACTGCTTGGTTACTGAGTAATTTAGTCTGTCAGGTAGTTATGTGGTTAATTAGTTACTTCGTTAGGTAATCTGTTGCGCAATTTATCAGTTATTAAGTCTGCAGGTTTGTTATTTCCTTTATTTATTTAGTTAATTTATCTATAAATTTTATCAGCCTTACTTATCTTAGTTCAACTAGTTAACTGGAGTGTAAAATTTGCAACGCATTATGTAAAAATTTCCAGACGATTTTAACCCATGCAATTATCCGAGGAAGAGGACAACATAGTTTTGCGTGTCATGGCTCGGTTGCTGCTGTAATGAAATGTCAGATCCTGTCAATAACAACGACCAGACAGGTCTTGTATTCTCTGCGCCCCACTAATTGGACAAAAAATTTTTTTTTACAGTTCCGCGTGTGGAGTCTGGAACATAACTAGGGATTAAACCCTGCAATAAATAAAATTACCTGCATGAGTTCAATTGCTGCTTCACACTCGATGAAAAAGTAGGCATTAAGAAATTCCCCTTGAAGCAAAGTTGACAGAGAAACGTTATCCAAGCCTTTGTTAGTTTCTTGGAAATCTGACCACCTAATTTTCTGTAATTATTGTTGTCTGGGGCTTACACCGTATCCTAGAAATCCATCTCTTCTAACGCCTACAGAACAGGTCCTACTGGATTTTTGGTCCAGTGTGGATTTGGAAGTTAGTCCAAACGTTCAACGCCATTGACCTGTAAGCCGGCAACTGGACACAATATTCCCAGCCACCTCCAATACTTACTTCCCTAAAATCTGTTTTAAAGCTATGCAATAGCTAAAGCCTAGATCTTCAGAATGGAAATTATCTACAAGATTTCCAGAATTCTGCTTATATATCACTGTACTTGCATGCCCAGTCCATCGTAACCTTCTGGGTTTCCCTAGCAAGACGATCTTAAAGAAAGTAAAGACACAACAGAATATTGCTTATTATTCAACATCATGGCCTGCGCACTTACGCCTGTCGTTGGACCTGAATACTTCCCAAAGTACATTTCTTTAAAGTGCACAAAGTATAAATAACTACAGTCGCTCTCATGTTTATCCGACGATTCAAGCGACATCACCGTACACCACTAACATTATAAAATCTACGAAATAAAAATTCCTTTTACTAATTCTAACACTCATAAGGGAAAAGCCTTAATGCGGAATTTCCAAAATTCGAAAGCATTAAAATAAGATTTAAAAGTCTGTTCAATCTACAGAAATGAATGAATGTTGAATCTAGAGAGAGACAAATGTCTGCTCAATCTAGAGAGTGACGGGCGGGACAAACGTATTTATTTTCAATCTAGAGAGAGACAAACGTCTGCTCAATCTAGAGAGTGACGGGCGTCTGTTCAATCTAGAAAGAGAAGAGACTCTGTTCAATCTAGAGGGAGATGAGAGTCTGTCCAATCTAGAAAGAGCTGAGAGTCTGTACAATCTAGAAAGAGATGAGAGCCTGTTCAAACTAGAGAGAGATGAGAGTCTGTCCAATCTAGAAAGAGATGAGAGTCTGTTCAATCTAGAGAGAGATGAGAGTCTGTCCAATCTAGAAAGAGATGAGAGTCTGTTCAATCTAGAAAGAGATGAGAGTCTGTTCAAACTAGAGAGAGATGAGAGTCTGTTCAATCTAGAGGTAAACAGGTAAAGGCAGACTTGGACCGATGAAACTGAAATTCATATTAGGTTCATGGGCTTTATCTCTAGAATCTGACGGTGATGATCTCATCAGACAGCACTACCAACAATTTACGTCGTCTCCAAAATGTGAGTGTACTTTCAAACCTGTGAAGTTCACTGAATGGACACAGACCCTGACCGGGTGAACGTCCTAGGTCGGAAAGACAGCACCACCCAGGAACCAACAGACCAGTGGTTCGGATTTTCGAAGCGACCTACACGCCCACCATCAGCCACGCAGTCACAAAGACTCTGCTGGGAGACACACACACACGCACAAAGAGACAAAACGTGCCATGGACCGGTTCCTTCCTCCGAGAAAGGCCTACTCATTAAATCACAGAGGTAATTACCCTCAAATTCTATCGCAGAACTGCGGGGTTCTGCGTGTGCTGCCAGTATGTGGCATTTAACCTGTTAAAGCAGATTGGTAACTACATTAATCTGACTTACCATTCAAATAAATCTACATTTTGCCCGTATAATTTACCTATTTATGGATCTCGTACGATTCTTACAACAAACCGAAATTACTTAAATCATCAGCATTAACCAACTGATTTTTGTAATGGATACGCGTTGTGTATTCTTTGAGATATGAACCAGAGAAACTTTATCTACGTTTCCTACACCAATTTCAAACGACCAACGCAAAACCCTCTTCAAGTGTTATATTACAGATTTAAACTCCACAGAGAAGAAAGAGTCTTCCAACAATTTCTCATGTATTCCACAAATTCCCTGAATGTTACGAAACTGTTCAGACTGATCTCGGGTCCACAAGAGTCTGCCAATTATCTCTATCCTCGGTCATGTGAGTGCAGTCGACACTAATGCAAAGTAAATTTTAATATTGTTCTCAGATGTAGGATAGATTTTCCAAGTGGTCACTTCCCTCCAGGTTTTCCGAATAAACGTCTGTATGCATTTTTTTAAATTTTTCCCGCATGTTCTGCATGCACCATAAATATCACCTTGCTTGATGTCCTCGTCCTAATACATTTTTAAGAATTGTAATTACAAATTATAGATCTTTTCATGCGTAACTTGTATACAGCCTGCTCTCTCTTCCTCTCTTTTTAGTTATGAATATGAGTATTCTCCTTAGAACCTCCACTTAAACAACTTTGATATACGTACGAGAATTAAAGAAAAATAAGTGTTATTTATCTTTAAAACCTACCTTGCCCGTTTGTGTTTCTAGACGTAAGTAAGAAACTCATTCCACCTGACAGACACAGTAGACAATATTTTTGGTCGTTTTCAAGCAACAAAAACAGTTTCTCAGACCGGAATTTCACGTGCAATTCTCCTGCCCATTTGCAATAATTTTATAAGGCAACGTTTTGATATATAGTACAAAACTACTAAAATTATTTATGCAAAAACAAAAATTCTACAGACTTGTGACTAATTGCAGAAACTTACCGACAGGTATAAAACAAGTTTTTTCCCGGGGTGCGGCCAATGCTTCAGGCAGACACTGCAAAAAGCAATAAAAATTGAACATCAAACGGCGTGAATACCGACAAACAAAAGAGATAAGACATCTCCAACAAGTCTATGTAATATTTCAATTAGGATGTTTGTTTTTCTCATAAAGTAGTTGCTAAGCAGATTGTGTGGATTACAGCGGGAAATTTCGAAAAAATTTAAAATCGCTTCAGCTGCTTGACAACAAGCGAAGACGATGTCGTAAAATTCGGAAATATAAAGGTGCAGGGTAACGGGGGGGGGCAGAAGTTAAGATATATCGGGTCATTTTAAATGTCTGTGATGATGTAAAAATACTAAGCACTGCTCTTTAGTACATGAGAGATCATAGATTCGAATCTTGGCTGATTCAGATTACCTATTACTCTTGACGAGTTTATCCTCTGGAAAGATTACGATATATTAATTTAAAATAGATAACGATTGTTATCCTACACAAACTACCGCCACGGTGTTCTAGCGGTTAGAACGCTGGCCTTGTAATCCTGGGGGTCTCGGGTTCGATTCTCGGCGGTGCCCGAATTTATAACTTGTGTTGGGCAAAGCCGTGGTCTAGGCAACACGGAGGTTTCCTCCGTGGCATCCCAACAATTACTCCATTCACACACAGAAGAAGGCAATGGCAAACCACTTCTGGATCATCTGCCAAGAACGTATATGAACAGGTCCCAGTCCGAGAAAAGGATGGAAGGATCCTGTTCATATGGACCTGTCCTCAGACAGAACACTAAAATAAAATAATAAATAAATAAATCCTACACAAAATAATTATAATAATTTCAGTAGGACGCTCTATTAGAATTGACGCCGTTAAATAAAAGTTCGATTCTGTTAGCATCGTATTCTTTGGAATCGAGCGTGAGGTTAGTACCTCATCTTAAGATCATCAGGTAGCCTACATCATCATCATCTATGGCACAAGTGACGTCAGATATGCTACCTGTTGATTATCACTCCCGTTGCCGAGATACAAACTGGGCAGTAAGGCACGGCGATTTCTAATTCCGAAACTCCTTCACAGAGTTCGCACTGGTGTCCCGACTTCCGACTGGTAACTCGCATTTAAATTCAAACTGAGACGGTTACCATACTTACCTGCCGAGCTCTCACCTGAAGCAAGTTCACTATGTCCCATGCCAGAGACAAAGTTAAAGAAAGAAATACGTCAGAGGGCCTTAACCCCTCCCCCCCTCCCCAGGCACAGCTTCCAGCATATCGGAGATTATTGTATGCACTACAGTCCGACTAGAAAGTCAAAGCGCACACGAAGATCGCGATGAATACAATGTTCTTTCAATGAGTAATGAAACTGGTGGTATCGAATCTACTTTCCAGAGCGATGAAATCAAGATTTGTGCGATCCTCGTAACCAAGAACGATGAAGCTTTTCGGAAATGAATGACGAGAAATGTTTTAGTTGGTATAAAGTTATCCAGTATTATTTTTAGGCGGTCAGATCATGAGGCTATGACGAACGGGACAAACACGGTGAACAGGGGACACAAGAAAAGTTCACTGATATTTGCTGCGGAAACGTCTGGATGCTATGAAGTTAGAAAATGGTTCGGGATCTTATTCCTAGCTGTGTTTCATCTTACGGATCTATTCCCACGGTGTCAGTAAATGACGTCATGATGTACGACAGGACTTCGTTGTATATCTGTCATCATTCCAGCTTTGTATTTAGATAGTCACTTGTTCAAATTTCATTAAGGACACTAGGTGGTACCTTGCCGAAATTATATTTACTCCTCAAGGCAAATAATTGGATAAGGAATATTAATGTCGTTTAAAATATGCTACTAAATTTCCATATTCTTTGTACTACATAATACGCATACAACCTGTCATTCTGCACTACATAACTTACCCAGTTGATTAATTCTTTCTGTATCCGTGATATGAAGAAAATGTCTTTCTGAAAAGCATCGGAAATATTTACTTTCATAATATATTTTCTATTTTATTACATCTGTGAAGACAAATTCTCCTACGATCTTTTGCCAGAAACGTAAAAGTTGATTTTCATCAATTAAAGTTCACAGGAAAAATAAACATCAAACTGGAGGGTTCGATTCTCTAACTTAAAACTGCGATTGAACACAATTAATAACCGAATAAAATTTTTTTCCTCTTTCGATAGTATGTTTCTAAGACAAATTCTGGTCCGTAGGTTTTCACGGCTGTGATTCAAAGCATAAATTCTGATTTCGGGTGAGAGTCGCGTTGAATATTTGGTGTTTCGTTTCAGTTACTATTTTCAAATTGGGTGGGCGGGCTGATAGCAGCCCACTCCTTCGCTCCATCAATCAACACAATCAAATTTATCTCGTAACCACTACCTGATCCATATAAGGCCATCTTAACTGACCCCACCTCACACCCACCTTGAAAATGGCAGCTGTAATACTTGCCGAAACGTTGGTTAGTACCAACAATTCTATGTCGCTCTCACCCAAAAGCTTAAGTTGTACAACTGTTATTAACTCATCCGTTTATTCTGAGGTGTACCAGAATACATTTCCAGTACATATATCAATTTAATGATCTACTTGTAATGTTTTATTCCAAAGTGGAAATTATGTACAAATTGCTTTAACGTACAGTATCTGAGTATTTGTTCCACACAATGTTTTTTTTTAATTTCATTTATATCGTAGAATGTATTCACAGGACGTCATTATACAAATGATATTTGTATGAAAACAGGTTTTATTTCCAGCGATGTCATTTAACGCTATGTAGTATCTCTTTTTGAAACAGCATCGTTAAACTGAGTAAGGTATAAAAAAGAGACTTCTGGGGTGCTCTGAAAATGTTTCTTGGGATCAGTTTTGCATGTGCACGAAAGTACTTGCCCACAACAATGAATTTACGTTTCAAATGTGCTCGCCTACATAAATTTGTTTAGATAATAGGCATTACTGACGTGTCGGAGAAGTTGCCGCATACGTAAGGCGTTAAAGACGTTATTACGTCACCATGGTACAAAGAAAAGACCCGAATGAATCTCGTAAAGAACTCCTGACTTTATTTTGTTTCATAAGTTTATTTAATGAATGTCTGTAAAATTCAAAGGTCAGGTGGAGGCGTGTGGCAGAATGACACAATACGTTTAATATTTTACGTTCTCACAGAGGTGTATATTTAAATTTATTTATTCTTTATACATTTGAGGTTTACTTAAAGACGCTGTCAGTGGCTCACACACAGTAGCTTTGAAAGATATGACGATTAGTGAATAATTACACTAATATATGCGAAAGGAAGTGGTCGTGACCTAATTTAATAAACTACCCCGGCATTTTCCCGAAGCGATTGAAAAAACCTATCAGGATAGCCGGTCTCCAAGCCGAGATTCGGACCTTGAACATTTCGTCGACGGAGGTATTCTGTGTTTCGACATAACTTACTGCTTCCATCGTCATGGTACGTTCTCCGAAACGTTGGTAACCATTTAAGTCAACATGGCTTCACAACCCTGTAGAGTAATACCACTGACACGATGAACCTCACTCTAAAAAAAATCTTCGCTTGGGGCCGAAAAACGAAGCCGGGAGCCCTGAAGTACAAAATGCAGAACTCTTCGTCGAGAGTGTACAATCTCCCCTCACAAAGGCTCAGTACCTCTTGGGTGTCCTGGTATAAATTACGCAGACGAAACTGACAAGCCTATCTAGTTCAAATGAGCTCACTACCACCTAACAGAGGATGGATAAATTATACTAATTATTTATTTTTTAAAATAACTTTAAACTTGAATCTCTTTTCACAAGAACTACCTAATTTATAATCATTTCAGTGTTTATCAGTAATTTTTATCACACATTCTTACTTGTCCACGTGAAATTTATCGACACGATCAAGAAGTCCCCGTTTTTATGCATTCAGATTTTCATCACAATGTTCACAAAACCCGTTTTCAGATCCCGTCCCAAAACAGCTCAGTCCATGAAAACGCTGCACATTGGAGCCTGTGTTCCAATGACTTTTCGTACAACAATGTAATGAAATATAACTTCCTTATCTCCGGTGACTGTGGCCACATACAAATTAAAGCATTGAACCACTAAAATATAGTAAAAATATTCAAAGAAGTGTCACGTGACTTGGATATTGCAACTCATCAGGAAATAATAAATAAATTTTATTTTAAGATTACACAATGTAACGTCGTTAAGAGGCTTTCGATTCACGAATGGAGAAGAAGGCTTACAGATAGAGAGAATGCAAGATCATGGAGTAAGCAATCGTAACAGCCGAAAAGGGGGGATCCTCAAGCTTGGGCATTGAGAGTAAGGATGAAAGAATTAATCTCTGTTAACAGTGACAGAAGACAAATTTCTGAGCGGAATATTTGCAAATAAGAGAAGGTATGTGGGGTATAACAAATACAATTTATTTCGTGATGTGTATATTCAACAATTATTTTGGTCATCCCTTCAAAAAGGACGAAATTTCTAGGGAATATGGCACTCATGACAAAAAGCTACAATACACACAGGTCTATATAAAAAAACATCGGGCTATAAAGGAACGTAAGACGTCACTTGGGTCATAAACAATAGTAATCAAATAAATACAAAGCGCGAGAGTATCGATTGGATTAAAATCAGCAAAAGAACTCACAAACATCCGTTTTACATCAAAGTTGGGAATATCTTGAACAGCTGTGCGACTAACAGCTTGTCAAACAGATTTATGTTTTGCGGACAGAGTTAGTGTAATGTATATAACGAATATTAGCACTAAATACGATTAAACCACAAACTGCAATTATACTTGACACTCTCGTCATAAGGTAATGTTACGCCTCGAAAATTACGTCACCTTACGGAGACATTAGCATAGCATTACTTTTTTTTGAAGTGTTCCTCGTGCTGTAGACACGTTAAGAAATATAACAACTGCCTCATCTGAACATTTAATTACTTTATATGGCATTTCCCCGCACGTATGAATTATAATGG